TATATATATATATATATATACACACACAGCAGACTTTGGTCGCAGCGTTGTCCCATATTTGCGACACCTCATTCAACACCTCCACACAATAATTCAGCGCATTGAGTGACAACTTTTTTTCATCGCGGATGCTACATGTGTGTCTCAGTACAGCTAGCTTTGTTGGCATCACGTCCACGGAGCTTACCTTTCTTTAAGCTTTCCTTCCAAGTGACGCTAAAAGTTGGACGAAGTCCCCACCGTCTGTGAAAGCGAAGCGCTGCTGATTTTACATGTCGCCATATCTTATGATTTATGTAGCGGGATTGTATTACGGTAGACAGACATCTTCTGCCGCTCAGAGGAAACCACTGCGCATGTCTGGAGCTCCGCGCGAGTAAAGGTGGAGGCGATGGGTGACAACAGACACTAAGTCAGTTATTGCTCGGATTTTACGGCGCCACCTTAAGACCCTGAACTTCACATTTTAACGGGAAAAAAAGCTCAATGCGACTTGGATGTAAGGAGTAACGTGACAGTTTTGTAGAAATGTAATGACGTAGAAAGTACAGATACTTACTGTAAAATGTAGTGGAGTAAAAGTAGAAAGTACCCATTATTAAATCTACCTAAGTAAAGTACAAGTAACTTAAGCAAATTGGTCCACTGCAAATTGGTCAGTAGCACACAAGTGTAAACTAGACAAGTCAATATGATCAACAACCCAAATCAATATTTCTTTTATTCATGCCAGTTCTTCTTATGGTGACTGTTTTGCTTCCTAACTCAGTTTACAAACTCTGAATTTATTGGTAAGTTTTGCTGCTAGTAAAAAAAAAAAAAAACAACATTCTGAACTCTGAAGGTTCTTTTTAAGATAGCAGGAGTCAGAACTCAGTTTGGAAGGGAAAGAAATCAACTTAGAGAATGCTTTTGAACTTGAACTTTAATTTGTGAATTAGCATGTTTTCTGCTGCTTAGACAGAGAAAACTGCTTCTTAGCTTGAGTATAATTAGGTGGCATCCTGGAGGAGATCAGAGGTTGCTCAGACTGCACATGGAATTAAATATTTATGAAACCCTTGAATGTTCGTGGACATGCTCCGACTTTTGTCAAGTGCATGAAATGAACTTTGGGTTATTTTTTTGTTCTCTTAAATTGGAAGGTAATTACAAAATTTGTCATTATTAGTTTGATAGTAATATCCAGAGGTAGATCTGAATATTACAGGTCATTAATGTGTCACAGTGATTTTTCTCTGCTTTCTGTCTTTCAGCTGGTATCTGAATAAAGCCACCTAATGTGCACATTTAAATGCTTCAAATGAATTATGGGTCTGATTTTCTTCTTTTTCTCCTCTGTCTTTTTGAAGTTCAAAGCGAAGCCCTGAACTCTTCCCTTGACATGCAGTATTCACCAGTTTTCATTAAACTGGCAGTCTTTGAATAAGGGAATGTTTTCCCCTCTTTAACTTTTCCTGCTTAATGCTGCAGATTTGTTGACCTTGTGTTGTAGTGTTGTCTGCAGGACTGAAGGAAGATGTCAGCGAGTAAACGGCTATCAGTCCCTCTAATGGCAAATAGATAAGAGTGTCCTTGATGGACTGAGCAGCTGTAACTACGTTTACACAATGTGGTATAGTTTTTATCTGATATATATATATATATATATATAAAGGAATGGTGTAGCACTGGCTTCATAGACCTGCCTCAGACTGCTTGCTTGTAGTGACCTGACTTCACAAACAGGATTAATCATGTTTTTAGCAGGAATGTGAAGTTTCATATTGAACAAGCTTTTTGATTCTTTCCCCCAGTCCTGTTTTCTTTCAGATAAACAAACTTGTCCTCTTCAGTATGCTTTTTCTGCCTCTTACAGCAATGGTACACAAGCTCCATGAGAACTGTGTGTGTTTGGCTGACTGACAGACTGGACCTGCAGCTCCACATTTACCAGCTGAAAGTACTCATCAGGATTGTGAAGGTAAACAAAGTCTTACAAATTAGAGCAAACTGTGCAGACAATCTCTGCATGGATACTTCTGTCTGCATTTAAACCTTCATTTCTTAACTTTTCCAATAGTCCTGAGCTAGTAATTAATCCAAGAGGCTCCAAGACCAAAATGGGTTTACACCCTCTTAGAAAAAAGGATCTTCAATTACACAGTGGGTCTAGAGTGTTAAAGAAGAACTAGCTCAGCTCAGAGGTTAAAACATGTTTATGTCTGAGCTGAAGTCACACTTCCGACATGAAGTAGTTCTCATTCATTTATGAGGTTTTTTAATAAAATGAAATCATTAAAGATGGTCAGTTATGATTTTTTACATCAGTTCAAATATAGATGACCTCACCCACTTTTCCTCACATAAACTTTATTTAATATGTATATGCAAATTATCTGGAAAGCTGTTGAAAATGAGTGCAGTTTTGACTGAAAGACAACTGCAGGGTGGGCGCTCCTCCTTAATAAATTCCTGATTCTGCTTAAACATAGCAGCTGACAATGTCCTCATTCAAGTAAGTTAAAAACAACATTCATGTTATTTCACTTTTACTCCAATGGTCAGAGAAAAATCAGCAAGCTGGTTCTCATGGTTACGACACGATTGAAGTGAGATGGGTACACCACAGACGATTTTTCCTCTGCCATGCTTTTTCATCATGCCATTGTTCTGGACAATTTGTTGGAGTTAACACATTTCATTTCACATGAAAGGCCAAGTAAAATACAGACTGCAGGCTACTGGCACTTGGCATTACACTGTCTAATCCAGTGTAATGGCAATTTACAGACTAAGAAAATGTGTCATGATTTTTGACATTGCCTGCAAATCTGCACCTCCTGTCCTTGACACTCCTGCAACATTTGGACACACCACTGCTCCACAAAAAACTGAATCAAATGAATTGTTCAAATTTGCAGAACTTGATGAAATTTTATTCAACCGTCTTATTTGGATGTGTTGGAGCAGGGATGCATCCAAATGTTGTAGGATAGTGACACTCCAGGACTGCTGACTCCTGACCTAGAAGCTTCCAACTTCCTAGAGCCTGATATTTTTTAGTTAAATAAAAAAGTAGATGAGTTGTGTTTTTTCTGCTTAGCAAATTCTAAATTATGTAGAAACTGTTAAATTATGACTGAATGTATGACATACAATAGATTTAATGGTGGACATTAACAACAATCATGTAGACTATTTTATTGATGCCGATTCTGCTATATAATGTAGGTTTCAGTACAATCTACTCTTGTCTACCATCCAAGTATTTTAGGTCCATGTAGATAAAGCACAAATTGAGCATATGCTGTTCTGTCCGATGGCTGATCTCAGGAAAGTTCTTCCAATATAATTCCAGTAAACATGTTGAAAATGCAGCACATAATCAAGGACATGTTCTGGTAGTGAGGGCGAAAATACTTCCAAGATCTCTGTTAAGTGATGTTGCCCGGTTTGATCATTTTTCCGTTATCGTTGAAAGCACCATTTCTGTTGACTCACTTAGGCAGAGAGATGTCATTACAAGACATTTTAAACGATAACGCAACTAAAACTTTTAATCAGGTTTACTGTTCCACCTCCCTTTATCCTGTAACCCAGTAGATGAGTTGGTAAATAATTTCAATTCTAAATTCTCAGATAATTTAGATAGTTGCTCCCGTTAAAGCGAAGATCATGTCTGGTGGGACCAGGGCTCTGTGGAGAGCTGCTCCACTAGTGAGATGTGAAAGGAGCCTCTGTCAAAGGGCCGAACATAAATGGTGTAAAATTCAATTCCATCTTCATGATGAAATCTACAAAGAGACACTACAAAGCTATCATTCAACACTTTAAAGGGAAACGTTCTTCTGAAATCATAAGCTAAAACATCAACGATGCTTGAGCTTTATTTACCACAGTTTTCAGGTTAACACACCCTCCTGTGACGGCAGCAGCTGGACTCCACTCTAACAGGACCTGCAGTGAATTTGCCAACTTCTTTACAGAGAAACTTTTACTTCAACATTAAATACAGTAGCAATGTTTTGTGCAAACATAAAACGTGTAGAAAATGATACAATTTCACCAACTCAACCATCAGGTAAGCTCGTCCCCCTGCTGTTTTGATATGCTACTCACAACTTTTCTTAAGAAAGGTTTTCCTGTCTCGTCTGATTCAGATAATAAACTCTTTGCTCTCAGAGTTTCTTCTTGATGAGGGTTCCAACATTTAAACAGCTTCTAAACGATGCGCAACCACTTTGACATCTTCCAGTCCGGGTTCCATGGTTACCACTGCCCTCATCAAAGTGTTTAAAGGCATTCACAGAACCAGCACTCTGGACGAACCACAGTGCTGGTTCTGTTGAACCTCAGTGCAGCTTTTGACACTATTGACCATGACTTATTACTGGACCCACTAGAGAGCTGGGTCAGACTCTCCGGACCAGAACTCAGTTGGTTTGAATCTTACATAAAGAACAGGATTTCTTTGAGTCAATATATAACTTCTCATCAAAGCAGGCAAAAGTCACATGTGGGGTACCTCAAGGTTCAATCCTGGGACACATCCTGCTTGATATCCACCGACTTCCTGTAGCCCAGAGAATAGACTTTTATATACTTGTGCTAGTTTATAAATCACTGAAAGGCTCATCACCAATCTTAATTCTTTTTCTTTGTTTTTTTATTGTGTTTTGTTTTTGTCATGTACTGTCTTACGGAAATGTACAATACTCATAAACTTGACTAATCAGAGCTTCAGCAGTGGACTGAAGAGGACCTCGCTGAAAATTGAACCTCACCCAGATTATCCAAGATTTGTCTGCAGCTTGAGGACAGAGGAGGGGAAACGTGAAGGCAGAGAGAGAATGTCAAAACTCCACACAGGAGCCTCAGCAGACCAAGATGTTCAAACCCTGAATCTTTGTGTGACTAAATACTGGCTCTTCGTTTTGAGCAATTCATAGAAAAAAGTCACAACTGACAATGGAGGCAGTGAGAAAAAAATTACGCAAATGAAGCCGCACTGAAATGTCCTTGAAAGCAGCTGTGAGAAGAGGCGCGAGAGATGAAAGCGAAAACCGCTGAAATGCTTTTTGTCTTTTTATAGTTTGTTAGTTTAAGTAGAAACCAATGAGACTCGGAATGATAATAGCTCCCTACTGAAAGTAAAAATCCCTGAGACACTTCACTCTGCCTTCCTGGTTTAACACACAAAAAAGCCTCTGAACGTCCTTCAGCCTCCATCTTCCAGCTTTTGTCCTTTCACACAGTGAATAGCAACTGCCTCCTTCTGCTCTCTACATTCCTCACATGCTCTCTTATTTCTTCCCTTTGCCTATTTACCCATCTTTCTTTCTTGTGTCTCTTCAGAAGACCTACCGTGACTTCAGGCTGCAGGGTGTGCTGGATGGCACGCTCAACAACAAGAACTACGAGACCGTCTACAACCGGTTGACGGTGGAGGAGGCCACAGCAGCAGTCAAGGCAGGCGATGGCCTGCAGGGCATCAGCATGAGAGACAGTGATGAAGAGGACAGCTAAACCCAGACGCACTTCCAGCAGCCTCTCTAACATGTCACTACTTTGTTTTAAACTTACTTAGTAGCTCACACCAAACTGACATATCAGGAAATACTTGGAATGAATTTACAAAATGAATATTTTATTTGGCAATGTGTCAACTTCCTAATGTTAATCTGCTTGTTTAGAATAATTTTAAGGGAAAATAGATATCCATGTAATTCTGACAAATATTTACACTATGTCAAGATTGTGAACTCTCAAGTGTCCATTTTCCATTGAATATTTTGACTAATCAAACTTAGCACATAACAGAAGGGAATTTGTGTTTAGTCATTTTTTCCAGTTGTAGCAATGTTGATGATGATCAAAATAAATGATCACTTTATTTTATATTGGTGCAATCTGTTTATTTCCCTAAAGAGCTGCCACTTTTGACAGGAAAATTAATCTGGAAATTGCATTAAAGATTGTCCAAATTTCTTTGCACATGGTTTTGGTGGAGGCAGTGTGATGCTGTGGGTCAGGATGTGTATCACAGGAGAACAAAGGCCTTCATCGTTGGAGTTAAACTGTGACCTTTGACCGTCACAGCGGCTTCTCCAGAGGCGGCCTCTGGACTGTGGGCAGTCCCAACCTCAACCTCACTGAACCCCTGAGCTCAGCCAGGCGTTTGTGTCAGATTGACAAATACAACCATGCTGACTAAGTGATAAATGCTGCTGCAGAATGTGTGTGACCAAGCTGGCACCTTGAAGACAGGGTGCCATGTTACTTTGGTTGTGTACATTTATCTCATGCACTGTTGATAGAACCTGTTAGTTACAGAAATAAATTGATAGATTGCCAAAAAGACTTTTTCACCAAACATCAGTCATCAAGGACACCAAACAGGGTTGCAGCATAATGAGCTGTTTGGTACTGGCAGTGAAGATCTGGCAAGTTTTTCACTATCCTACCAATAAACCAATAAATGAATTGTCCCCACAAATGTGTCATAATTTCAAGGGAAATAAACAGCCTTTCCAGAAATATTAAATTTCTTACAAAGAATCATTGTTACAACAAAGAATTATTTTTGACAAAACATACATTTCCTTACTTTTTTGCAAAAAATCCTGTTGTTTTTTGGGGCTGAACCTAACAAAGTAGTTGAAATGCTTTAACCATTCTAGGTATTTGTTATAGTTGCTTTGACACCTATTTGATTTTAGCTTAAATAAATGGGGAGTGTCGAGAAAAGTCGAGCTCATCCCACTTCCCCATGCTGGAGATTTTAGTTTAATAATAACAATGAATAAAGTTATCTTTAAAACTAATTACACAGATGACATCAAGACCCAACAGTAGAGTCAGACGGTAATGAAATTAATCTGGTTGTGTGTGTTATTGTGTCCTGCAAACTTTGCTTTAATTCTACTTTATAAAATCTAAACAATTTTAGTAATTGGATAAAACACAGAGAAAA